GGAATCCTATCTTATTGGGATTGCTGCTTGTATGAAGAATTCTACTCACATTGAGGAAGAGGCAAGTGGAACCGCTGTGTTCAAGGATGGGGAATGGAGAGTTCACAGAAGATTCACATGCTCAGGAGAATGCACAGAAAGGCCTAGAATGCCCACAGTTACAACTGAGATACAGTATATCTCCTGACAGTGGGCAAGACTGCAACCAGGTGACCTGTGTACCTGCTCAGTTGCTGTTCAGGTGCTCACTAATTCTCACTGGGCATTGCTTGATCTCCCTTCTTTTGTTTCTTGAACTTCACACCAAACTTGGATCATGCAGTCCTTCAAATAAGGACACATTCAAACAAAGGATTATCTACTGGAACATAAGACACATAGTTATCCTATCCCTATCTAGGCTTTTTTTTTTTTTTAAATAGTCTTCCTTTCCCCCACTCCGTGTTTATTTTTTAAATAAGATTCCTGGATGAATGTGAGATTTGTTCAGTTAAACTCTCTCTGTGGAACTATCAGCCTGAGGAAGGAGGGAGAAGGGCAGCAGCACAGACTCAAGACTAAATTAAATCGGAGTTGAACAGCCACTGACTGCTTTGATCTGGCTTGGGTTTATCTTTTAACCAAGCAGTCCTAGCCTGTTTTATTTCGTGTCCCTTTATACCACCAGCAGCTGTTTTGCAGGCATGACAAAACTATACATGTAGCAACAAAACGGACACACAACGAACTGGTTATTTATTATTATGAGGAGAAGTGAGTCCTGCAAGAAATCGTTGCAGTGAATCCACAATTCCTATTGAATGTGTTCCAGATTAGGGCTTTAGCCAGCTGTTTCATAGTTCTATTCAGGCGTTAATGATCAGGGAGAGTTTAGAAGGTGCAAGAGAAAAATAACATGTCCCCCACCCCTTTCTCACCTTTAGAAGGGCTTTCCCTACTGGCCTAGAAGGAAAGGGAGCAATGGCTGTCCAACTCTTCCTCCTTGAGTTACTGGGAGTGGCTGCAGGTCACAACAGACCATCAATCTGCAATAAATTTAGACCCAGGACCCACCTAATGTGCATTTGGAGACCACTTCTTAACTTATACCATATATTCACGCCATGGTGGTGCTGCAGCCAAGAGCCATGATAGGTTGGGTTGCCATGCTCCAGCGGACAACACAGGACTAGATGGACAGACTCTCTTGCCTGATCCAAGCCAGCTTGTTGTTTGTGTTCCTCTAGTGCCAGAGGTACGTGTTGGGACAGGCAGGGGTCGAGATTGCCAACAGCATGTAAGCTCCTTCACAACTTCCATCAGGGCCAGTTTTTGTGGTAATTGTGGATGCGAGCAAGTACTCATGAACCAGATTTTTTCAGATGATATGTTTTTTTTTTTCTTAACCACAATATAAAACGAATTGTTGCTGCACACCAGAGAATTCCCACTCCTTGCCCTCTCTTCAGTGATTTCATGAAATCAGCTCTCATTGTGCTAAAGCCAGTCTCATTCTTTGGAAAGCCTTGCCTCATGGTGAGAAGTCACCCACTTGGGGGCATCTGTTGATCGCTGGCCAGACACCTTGGCCACTGGGTCATATAGCAATGAAATTCATTTGCTGGCCTCTAGGTTGAGGCACAGTGCGGGGTTCCATTTGAAAGCAGCCAAAGCAACCAAGGGAAGTAAAACAAATTGGACTCCAGCCCACACCCTTGGTACCAACACTCACACCCTGAGGGACCACATTGTCTTTTCAGTAAATGAGACCAGAGGGAGTGGATCAGAATGGACAATCAGTGACCAGACAAGACAACGGTTGTGACAGTCCCAAATGATGTTTTTGAGAGTAGAGAAAAATACAGCAAGACGGGACTCTGTTTCCTGAAAAGAAAGATGCAGGACTGTTCCGTTGCCTCTGCTTATTGTACTGGGAGCCATTAAAACAGGCAGGCCATTTCAGCTTCTGAAAGTTTTTAAACCCTTTGAAGAATAACAAAGATTTAGGCTTAGGGGGATGGAAGTAGCAGTGCTTGTATTTAATGAATGAATGAAGCTGACACTGATGACATGGCAAAGGCACCGGGAACAATGATGCGGAACGAAAGGATTGCAGGCTAGGCACAACAGAGATGCCGTGCCGAAGATGAAGATGCCGTGCCGAAGGGCCCTGCCCAATCAGCTGGCTTTGATTCTTTTAATAGATCATGGTGTAGTTGGAAAGATCACAAAACCAACTACTTTCAAATGCTATTCTGGAGGACCTTTCCCAAACTTCCTAGCCGGCATTTCATTGCTGTTGTTGCTATTCCATGGGGAGGCATTTTCTCCTTGAAATTTTTATGAAAACAAGAATCAGAGCAATAAATTCTTTGCAACTTTTTGGATGTGGAAGATTTTATTGGAGCTGATAAAAAATCTATTTGAGTTTCCCTTTAAAGTGTTTAATCTAAAATCCCCCGAAGATTCAACTCCAGGCTCCTATTTGATTGTATAAATGAAAAGAGCCAGCACATTGCTGCACTTCCCACACTTTCAGAATTAAAGTAACTCATGACGAGTTGGACTGAAAACTGCTGAAATCTCTTTCTGCCCCTTGTGCTTGGGAAGGGTTCAAGCAGGCAGTCTTCTATGTTCTTGGTGACTTTTGGAGATGAATCCGCAAGCTGGAGGCAAAGATATTTGAGCAAACAAACCTCAAGTATATGCAACCCTTTTCAAATGCATTTTGCATTCATATGGCTGTTCTCCTGCCTGGACATGAAGGGTTTTGGGAGGGGATGTTGCTGCTAGTGAGTTTGGGAAATGTGGAGCATAGATGCCACCAGCAATTGGATATATACTAAGCTGATGTTAGCCCTGGGGAAAGAGCTTAGTTCAGGCTGAGCTTATTTCATCCAGCCTCCAGCTCACCATATTTGGTGTCACTGAAGGATTAGCTGGGCACCTTTTGGGGCCAAGAAGGATTTTGATTTTTTTTAAGCTTGGCAACATTTTGGCCTAGTTTGCTTTTTCAGAAAAATCTCATGACTACTGATGGAACAGGAATATGTAGAGATGTTGGTGAGTTAATTAGATGTATTTTGGCTTGGGTTCCTTAATATGAAGTGCTAGGGAAAAGGAAATGCTGTTAAATAGCGTCAACATAGAGTATGCATTTAATTCAATTTACTTGAAGTACGTCTCACTATATTGTGGAAGACTGACCATGTGACTGTCTGCTGTGCAGGTGGTGTTGATGGACAACTTCAAGGCCCTTGCTTTAAGTTTAACCAGGGTGCTTGACACAAAGGGAGTAAGAGTAAAAAAGATTTATTTTGCAAAATAAAGGTCCCCTGCACCTCCCGATTGCAGAGAGACCTGCTCAAACTTTTCACATCATATATACACCTTCCCATACAAAGGATGTCACGGAAGCCTTTTGCAGAGTCAGTGCCGGTCTGTGTAAACCAGAGGACTGATTATACTTGGCCACTGGCCAAGCTGATTGGGGCTGTTCCACACCCTCTGGTGAGGAGAGTGCTGAATTATTCTCACCTCTGATTCAGCAGCCTGACTTGGCACTAGACAGCTTCCTGTGTTCCTACAAAAGTTCTCAGTCATTCTTAATCAGTGCATGCTGAACAGTGCGTATGAATCCACATAGTTTTCTTTCCGTGCTTTTCCACCAGGAGGACTTCCCCCGAGATTACTGCTTCTTTTTCTCAGCATTAAACAAAAAATAATCTCCCAACGCAACAAAAAGTCCTTCCCCTCATAAATGCTTTAATCATTTAAAGAAACCCCTTAACACAAAAAGCCAATATTTCATCCAATACAACTCTCTGTCTCTCCACCATCTGTTACATGAATCTATAAGCCATTATTTCAGGTTTAAAACACAATAAAGCAAAAACCCTCATCCCTCACTTTACTAGAAATAAGGTTATTCAAAATCTATATTGGGTGTTTCCATCCCTTCCCTGGAATGTACTTTTTATTTTATGAAGCACTCTTGGCACCACATATACTGCATGAATACTCCAGTGGGAATTAGATCAGCCATGTTGATCAATGGCCTAGCAGCTCTTTCTCCTGCAGGGGACAGTAGTAGACATGGTCCTACCAGCACATTGGCCAATAAAATCCCATCACTTCAGACCACTTCAGGTCACAGTGTCATCCATCACTTTTAGGGCTCTGGCTTCTCAACAGGCAGTGCAATAGCCAGTTGGTTTAGTCGTCCACTTCCCCAAGTCTTGGAAAATTATATTGCTTCGAACGGAGTCAAACACAGTTACAGAGTTGGCCAGCCCTACCATTAGGCAGAGGGGCTTGATTGTTCCACGCAGCAGATCTTTGGGTAGGATGGCTATTCCTCCTGAAGTCCACAGCTGCTCTCTTCTGTTGGAGGACAGAGCTGTGTATGCCACACAACCTGTTCTGGTCTTCCTAAACTATCCCACTGTGACAGTCATGGTGAATAACATTAACCCATCACTAGTGCTGAAAAAAGTTGTAATTTCCAGTCCATGGAGAGGGGGGCCTGATCTGGTCCTTTTCCTCAGGTATCAAAATATTTTGGACTAGTCCTGAATGGAGGGTCTATTGTTTGTTGCTTGTTTCCCAAATGGAAGATGCAGTGCCCTCGTACGATTGCTCCCCATCTAGTCCAAGAAGCACTCATCCTTCAGAGTCAGCCAGAAGTAGCCTTGTCTTCAACAGGATTTCCCCACTGTAGTTACTGTTATTGTATCTGCCGCTCACCCATCCTTCAAAGAAGTTCCAGGTGATGTATGTGATTCCTGAGCCTTCTTCCTGTCAGCGACCCTGCAAAGCTTTTTAGGCTGAGAGACAGTGATGAGCTTAAGCATGCCTGGTGGGTTTCATGATTGCTTGAGGAATCTGAATCTAGATAGAGCCACATGCTGTCATCCTGATACTCCATCACCCATGATGCACTTGCTCAGTGGCAATGCAACAGTCTCTTTTAAAAGCTGTGGCATCCCCTCGGGCTTTCATTGTTGCATCCTCTCCTTCTGCTATGTGGGATTGGCACTGATATGCCTCCAAGCTGTTTTCAGGGGTAGAGGTGGGAAGCTATATGGAGGGAGGCAGTCGAAGAGCAGGTAAGGCTTTGAGAGCATCACAGGGCCCATGTGCAAGGGGACACAGGGCACCATGTGTGGCAGCCAGGAGGATGTCACATGCCCTTGGATTGGTGAGAAGGGCCATGTAAGGATACCAACATGAGAAAGGCTGCTGGGCATCAGGACAGGACTCTGCCATAGGATGAGAGGGAGAAGGAGAGAGAGATCTTAGAAATTCTTATGCAGGCCCTTAGCTCACTGCAATTTATGACTAACACAGGACTTGCCTTATCAATTTCCCTCAGTGTTTAGCAATAAAAAAGCAACAAAGTTTCAGAGAGTGCCTCTAAATGGAGTCCTTAAAATATAGTGACAGGCAATCAGTAGGGGAGAAAAGAAACCCTTTAGTTCTGATGATTGCAAAGCTTCTGGGAGGTTGAGGGGCAGAAATCTTGTTTGCCAACCAAATAACTCTTTCAATTCCAGACTTTACAGAATAATAAAACACAATGTAAATTCAAGTTTCAGACAAGGTTGGGATAAGAATAGAAAAGAGATGCATAACTAATTCATTTTGGTTCATTTGCACCTTCCAAGCCAAACATGAACCTGCAATATGATTCTTACTCCTGCCCCTGTATTTGGTAGCATGCATACATTTCAAAACGTGCTTGGAAAATGGGTAATTTTTTTAAGCAATGGGCACAAATAGTCTTTAATCAATACGACAATATTTCAAAGATGCCCACAGTTGATGTGCATATTATTCATAAAATCACACATGGATTTTCATGCAGACAACAACAACAACAACAAGAAGAAGCTTGCAATCTGATATGGACTCAAGTTGGAAGAAGCTTCAAGGTGCCATTTGGAGAACTTTGGGGAGCCTGATTTTGCTGATTTACACATCCCTTGATAACAGTTGTGCAGAGATGCTCTTTCAAGGCTGCTAAGGTTCTAGTCCTGGTTTACAAACACATCTCAGGCCACAATTTCAGCTTCTGATATGCATCATCAACCATGGTTTGGACTGGTGCAACATTTAACAGTAGATCATTGTGCAGGAAAAAGAGGGGATATTGCTCCAGAGAGGTGAGGGTAGAGGACCAGGGAAAGGTGAGTGTTCCTGAAGTATAGCCACAGTTAAATCAGCAATATTGGCCCTGAATCGAGGAAGGAGGCCGGTGCCCTCCAAGTGTATTGGCTGGGTCATTCTGGGAGTTATAGCCCAAAACATCTGGATGAGCCCACTTTAATAGACAAGAATGTGCTCTTGGCTCATGGCCAGTCCAGTTGGACTAGATTTAAGCCAGGGATGGGGTACAGAACCCTTTTCCGTTCAAGGGCTAAATTCCCTTTGGGAAAAAAAAAATTCCTGGGGGTGGACAGGTTTCAGCAGGGAGCAGGAATGAAGGCAAAGTAGGGCTGGGCCAAAGGCAAAAAGAAGAGGGCCCCAATACACCCAGTGCTGCCATATTTCAGTTTGAAAGGAGAAGCATTTCAACCTTTCAGAATGGGCAGGCAGAGGACTGCACAAAACCAGGAAAACACCAAATAATCAGTTGTTGTGAAAAAGTGGGTGGGACCGGGGAAGGGCTGTGTGGCCTTCTGAGGACTATCCTGGGACACCAAGGGGGTCAAATTTGTTTTCTGGCCCCAGGGTTCTGCTTTAATGCCCCACACTGCATTACACCTTGAAAAATGTGTCATGTAGTGCTCCATCCAAAACCATTGCTCAGAAACATTTTAGGGCTAACATTTTAGGGCTCATTTGCCTACAGAAAAGGCATTTGTTCTTCATTAGCACATATACCAAAGGTTTCACTTGAAAACATTTCTGCCTTTATTGCTGGGCAGCAATACTCACTCCTACAGCTGCCTTTTGGGCAGGCAGCAAATCAACTTCTGTTAAATGCTGAAGGCCCCCTGAATTACCAAATCGTTCATGTTTCCTCCACTTTGCCCGCTGATTCTGGAACCAGATCTAGGTGACAGAAAAGAAGGGAAATGGAGTATCAGATGATGATGATGATGCATCTACAAGCAAGTTTTGCAAGACCAAGCAATTGGAACAGGTGGGGAATACAAATGACGTTGTTCTCACACGGTTCCCCTTAGATTATTCCCTAGATGGAAGCTCGGGTAGTTGTTGCAACAGCCCCTGCCCTCTGCAGTAGATCTCCTTAAAGCCAGAATCATGGGGTCTCCTTTAGAGCACAATGCTTACCCGTCTGAAGGGGGCTTTGCCTGGTGTGCATGTGCTGCATGATTGGCAACGAGGGGGCTTTTTCTGGGGCTCTAGAAGCTCACAAAAAACTCTCTGGGCAAAGGGGCAACACCAGGTTGTATCTTCTGGTGCCACTGGTATCTTCAGGGCATTCAGGGAATGGGGGTGGCTTTGGATGCACTAGGACATTACCTCACTCATCTTCCGGATAGCTCCTTGTTGACCAGTGTCATGTCATCCCCCAGTTAGGTAGGTTTTAGTGGGAGGGAAATTAATAATAATGAAGACATTTGTCCTTCATTTTCTGCTCAGAAGACCTCCTTTCCCCTGCCCTCTCTTGCTATTTATTTATTTCCACTGCCTCCTAGGTTTTCCCTTCTTACTGGTTCATAAACCAATTACCTATTTTGCCTTATGGTTTTCCTACTATCCCAACCCATCCCTAACACCTGAACTTCCCCACCTGAAACAGAAGCGTTCCCTATGGCTCACCTTCTCTCATTTGACAAAGGTTTCTCCCTTTTCCTTCTCTTCTTACTTTCATTGCTGTCTGTTTGTTCCTGTCAGAGATGCTGATAGGTTATCCTCTACCTCTTTGCACCCTCCTGCTCCCCATCAGCAACCTTGCCCAAATCTAAAAGCAGCTTCAGCTTTGGTGGTCCTTGTTTTTCTCCTCCTCCCCACCCAATGCCTGCATTTGCTTGATCACCTGTCCCACCCTGGTTTTTCTGCATTCAAATCTCCTTGAGAGCCAAAATCAGTTCCCAGAAAATGTGTTTTTATTCTCCCTCCTCTTTCATGTCCTCCATAGTCAGCCATGCACACACCATGGCCACATACATTCATAGGCTTATATTTATCTCCATGGTATTTGGGGCTTGCATTTGCTTCTCCCTTTAAGGGTTAGTTTCCATCTAAATGTTAGAGACTGTTTTACCGTTCTTCCTTTTTTATGCATCTCACGGAATCTAGCTGTACTACTGATTTTTAAAGGCTTGTTATCTTTTAACCTTCTCAGTGTTGATGCCTTTTGGATATATAATGCCAATTCTGCTATGTGTGATTAAAATTCATGTTAATTCTTCTTTAATAAACAAACAGAAAAAAGCTTTTCGAAGCCTTATCTGTGGTCTCTCATTCCATTCCTTTTTGCTCTGCTAAGTTTTCCTTGGTGCCCAGCGCATAGAAGCTGTCATGTATGTGCTTGGTTTACATATACATCATGTGCTTCCACCCATGTAATCGGATACAAAAATTGTAACAGGCCTGCCTGCTCTGCAGTGATATACTCAGGGTAGGCATGTATGGAGTTTGTTAGATCCAGTCCCTCTATTTTGCAGTTGGTCAGGCATCTTTTCCCCATCATATGCTCACTGACCAATTTTTTGAGGGGTTTTTTTCATTTGCAATGTGCATTAACACAAGTGCAGATTTTAAAATATATGACACTGCACAAATGCTCCCGAAAGAGGAAAATCGATTTATTGATTGATCAAAGTCCTCTAGTTCACAGCATCCACCTAAATTGGAAAAAGGTGGCCTCCTGCAGACTCCTCAGGTCAAATTTGTAGAAACTCTAATTGATTTTAATCCATTGCAAATTTTCCTGACATGCCTCACTCAAGGGCACAACTAATTCCTCAACCACTGACTTTCCAGTCTTGTTTCTCGAGCGCACCCTGTGGAGTGTGGTGTGTGAGTGTGCGTGTGTGTGTGGAGCAGGGAGTGTGCAATGAAGTTGTCCCTCTGCATTGCTTAAACAAGCACACCTCTCTTCTAGGGCAAGTGCGGGAGGTGGAGCTAGGAGAAGAGAGGGTCAGAAGGAAGAAACACACCCTCACCTTGCCTAAGCAATGTTATTTCTGATTGGCTGGGGAGAAGAAAAAATGGCACAGAAAAGAAAACAACCATAACATAGTGCAAAAAGGGTGCATTTATGGTTAGAAACAGAGTGAGTCAGAAGGGTCCTCCCAGGCCATCTAGTCTGACCCCCGTCTTCAGCCGGCTCTGCTCATGGCATGCCTACCATGTGCATGTCCAGCCTAGAAAATCACACCACTCCAGCTGGGACCCAAACCCACAATCCCTGGCTTAGGAGGCCAATGCCTTATCCATTAGGCCACTGGTTGCAGGAGGTCATTTCATACACTGAAAAATATACCTCCACATTTGACACTGTCAGATATACTTTCTGTAGCACCTGATTGCTGACTTGCAAGGGCTTTTAGTAAATGCTATATTAAATGTATTTACCCAAATAAAGCATTCCTATTTTCAATTTTGATTCTGAATGATGAATTTTGAGGTCAGAAAATCTAAATTTTGGATCCTGAAATTCTGGAAAACAACATTGGTGGAATTTAAGTTCAGCAATGCAGCCATCCTGTGCTTACCTTGCACATGAAAACCCACACAGATTTTCTTGAGAAAATTTGATTGTCAGTAAGTTCAAAATGAGTATTCCCACTGTATGTGTGTGTACTGCTATGCACATAATCTTCACCACTGATGTTGGATATTAGCCCACAGTTTTTTTTTCTCCTGTGCAGATGCTTGTGTAAGAAACAATTCATAGCTGAAATGGTCCTAACTGGATTTACTGCTTAAAACAAGGCTGAGACATTTCATCTGATCTAAGAAATTATGGTTCCGTTGCCCCAGAGATGTTCTTCCCTCTCATTTTTCTTCAGGTAGAGTCTGTGAAGATTAGGATTGCTTTGGCAACCTTATATGAACCAGCTTGAGTTTGCCCATCTCTACCTGGAAGTAGAAAAGTTTGGCGTAACCTCTTCAAAACATTTATTTTTTTCTTAAATCAAGCATGTGAGTTTCTAACTAAATAAACCTCCTCACTCCAAGACAAAGAGTTCAATTACAAATGCATGGCACTAGCAATTGGTTATGTTGAAATCAATTTTTGTCATAGTACAAAAATTCAGTACAAGTAGGGATCTCCCTGCTACATCATTTATTTATTTGTTTATCTTTTGCCCAAAAGCTGAAGCTCTGTGGGTGGTTTACATCATAAGTGGTGAGTATCTAGTTTGTTGACATGATTGCATACAACTATCATCAGAATCTTTAATAACTCAAGAGCCACCATTACTTTCTAGAGACGGCAAGGGAAATATATGACCCTGTGAAGCATGCTGTAATCTGGCACGTATGAAGTTGCTAGTCTTTGCCAGCTTCTGGGCAGTGACAACTGAGCAACTAACATTTGTCTGGGCATGTCCTACATCAGAAGGAAGCAGAATTTACCTGGACCCTGGCTTCTGGAAGGTTGATCTTTGCTGCCAGCTGATTGCGCGTGTTGACGTCTGGGTAGTGTGTGACTTGGAAGATGCTCTCTAGTTCCTGCAGCTGCTCTGCTGTGAATGTAGTCCTGATACGGCGCTTTCCTTTCTTCTCATCTGTAGAAAGAAGAGAAAACATGCTTTGAGAGATCATGTCTGCAGGGCAGGGAAGCATCTGAAGTGACGCTTGTCTGCACATGAACTGCTGCTCGCATATATTACTACTTGGGGCCCTTAGAAGATTTGGAGTCCTGATGCCTGAGCAACTGTGCATGTGTCGACGTAGCTGCCCTTGATAAATGCATATGCTTAATACACGGATGTTGTGGGTGGAGTTGTGGAGTGTTGTGTGAGAGAGAGAGAGAGTGGGAGGTGATACTTTTATGTCTCAAGCATACTGTTCAATAGAAGCTGTAATACCTTTAGCTCTGAGTCATGGTAGGGCTTGACAGCTTCAGGCATGGTTCTGCTGTAGCATCTGCCTGTCCAATGAATGTTTGAAAACAACCCTAGCAATTGGGGTTGCCTAGTGAATGCTAATGATGGCTAGCATAACATTCTGGAAAAGTGCCAGGCTGGGAGGCCATCAGGCTGAGAAGCAGACGAGCCATCAAGCTGGTCAGTAGGTTGATAGAGAGCCTGAGACCTTTGGAGGGCTGGTACCTGCCCTGCGTCCCAGAGAAATGGTGCTGGAATGGAGACAGAAAATCAGCAGTTCCCTCTTGTGGTAAACTACTTTTGGCCTTTGCTAGAAGTTGGAAGTGCTCTATCCCCACGATCCAAATAAATAAATAAATTTAAAAGGCAGGTTGTGCATGTTTGCTGTCAGTGATGATGACAATCCTTCCCCAAACACCAAAACAGTTTTAAAATAGTTATTGTTAGGAAGAAATGTGAGCCTCAGGGTCAGGACATATACTGCTATTACAAGCTCATCTCAGAAGGAAGGGTCAGATTGAACGAATGAATGATGCTCATGTACCAGAGAGTTCCCTCTCGAACCCTTGTCTCTTTAACGAGCATATCAAAGTACACCTCATTAGACGCATCTCTCTTGGTAGCCTCAAGGAGTACATGTCAGTCAGACTGAGTCTGGCTGACACTGCTAAGGCAGTGATCAGAAGGCAGCAAAATTTCCTTTGCACATTAAAAGCAGAAGTCATGGAAATGGTGACCCCATTGAAACAAATAGTTTCGAAAGAAGGGACTGTTCATATGCATTGGCAAGGAGGCTCCTTTATGGGGGGACGATCCCTGTAGATCATGCTGTCCCTCTCCAGAGTATATGAAATGGGTAGCCAGGAGCTGATGGAGCTAAACCCAGAACTGCACAGATGTGCACGCTGGTGCCATGGACTTACAGCTACCAGGGCTGCCTTCTTGGAGGGGGCCTGTCAGGAAGCGCTTGTGCTCCTTAGCCTCTCTTCCCAACAAAGAGGGTCATGTCTTGCCAGTAGCAATTATTGTTGTTGTGGTTTGTCGCGAAGTTGTGTCCGACCCATTGCGTCCCCATGGACATCATTCCTCCAGGCCTTCCTGTCCTCCACCATCCCCCAGAGTCCACTCAAGCTCACGCCGACTGCTTCAGGGACTCCATCCAGCCACCTCATTCTCTGCCCTCCCCTTCTTCTTTTGCCATCTATTGTTCCCAACATTAGGCACTTCTCCAGGGAGTCCTTCCTTCTCACCAGCAGCCATGCAAGATGCCAAAAGCTGTCTTCTCCTGCCATGTCTATTGCTACTCTGGAGAACAGGAACTGTCCGAGACAAAGGTGGGTCCCCATTTGCCTGCTGTGGTCATTCTGCACAATCCAAGGCTCTGCCCTCAAAGTCTGATTGCAGTCCTGCAAACAGAAGTGCAGCTAGACCTGGATTAATGACCTAATGGGGTGGAGGAGGGGAGAATTTTAGCAGTTCAATTGTGAAACACGTTGCTAACCTTTTCCTTCCCCTGCCCTCATGTGCCATTCCATGCTTTATAATGGTGTCAACTTTCTAGATATGTTAGAACAACCATAAAACCTTTAGTTTCAGCCAAACCTATACATGTATGTAAGGCATATACTGAAGATCTGCAGTTCCATATTTTAAGAAGATGTAGATCATTTATTTATTTAAGACATTTGTATGCCATTCTTTGCAACAGCCTCAGGACGGCTTACATGAATAAAATTGCAACATACATAATGGTATACTATTATAAATAACATAAAAACATTCCACAGTATTCATGGTGCCATCAGAAAAAAAGCTAGCTTCTGCTGCTTTGCTTCTCTCATAACCTGCAACTCTTTAGGTGATCCGGAGTGTGAGTGTGTGTGTATCTGCCCAGCTGTGGAGCCCTGGATTTCCCCCCAAACTCTTGAACAGACTAATGCCTGGCTCCCTGACTTGGTTGGGGAATCCATTTGAGCCCAGCACAAGGGGCAGGGAGAGGCAGAGCTGATGGGAGTGCTTGGCTGAATGCGCTGGATGGCTGGGCAATGGCCCCTTGCATGTGTGCCACCAGATTGCGCCTCAGTTTGGGTGCCTCCAGGCCAACCAGCTGCTGAGGTGGCCGCAGAAGGACCAAGATGTGGGGAGTGGACCAAAAGGAGAACGTCATCCCTGTAGTGTACTCCTGGCTTGTCTCTAGTCTGGAAGCTGGCCAGGGAGTTGACTAGTTGCTCTGAGTGTACTAACAACAACAACAACAACAACAACAGGTATACATTTTGCAAAGCAGCCAACTGAATCTGTTATTGTGAAGCCCATATAATTAGGTGGCAACAGCTTTATTATAGACCCTGACATGATGTCTGTACAGATCAGGCTGTTCTGTGCCCCCCTCAGCTTATTGTTTGGAGAATGAATTGGCCCTTGAGAACAGAGCAGTTAAGCTCTATGTTCTCTCAGGTGGCCCATTGCAGTTCTAAAACAGCAGTGTTGATGTTAAAATAACTTCAAGTCTGTTGCTTCTTATGGTTGGCCTGTCAAAGTGTTTTCTAGTATGTGTGTTGCAGAACAACAACACAGAAGGTTCTTGTTTGTTTGTTTGTTTGTTTGTGCCAGTCCTGCTGAGAGCAGTTTTTCAAAGCTGAAACTCATCAAATTAAAAGAATGAAATAACCTGAGGTCAGCTGTGGGCCAGCGGAGACTTGAGTGGACGGGCTTTGATTTCAGCTTCATATGAAATTGCTGCTGATATAGTTACAGTGAGTTAATCAAGAACACGCTGGTAGGAAAGGGAGATGGTGCAGTTTGATTAAACTTAATCAGCTATTCTGTTTATGTTTCCCCACAACAAAAATAATAAAAAAGTTTAGATGGGTTGTGGGAAGTGGGGACAAAAGGTGGCAAGTCTTTGTTGTCATTCAGCCCTGCAAGGTGGAAGAATATTTGTAGCTCTGACTATTTTCAAGTGCCTTTGGGACCTCAACTTAAGCAACCCTGTAGTGAACAGTAGCACTCAAAATTGCAGTCTAATAAAGGGTGTGGGAGGAAGAGAGAAGGCAAGAAAACATTACACCTAATGCTGGATTTACAAATTTGGCAGGGTCCTCTGGGAAATAAGACTGCATTTCTTTCTTGAAATGTTTCCATATGCAAAGCCTGGGATGTTCAAAGTCATATATATCTGCAGGGAAGTCATTCAGAAGAAAAGCTAAAGTGATTTAGGAGTGTAGGTCCTTTTCCTTAAATGCAACCCTCAGATCTCTTGAAAAAGTCTCCTTCTATTCATTTAATGAAGAGCAACTTCATCTCACTGCTGGATTTTCAGTACTGTTGCCAGCTCTGGACTTAGAGACAATCCCTTGATCTTTAAGAACAGTGCAAAGAAACCATGCGATGGCAGCACCTCTTGCTCCAGATGGCTCCTTTCCTTTGCCTCTGGTCTTCGGTTGCAAATGTCCTCGTAAAGGCAGATTTGGCCAGAACACCAACCCCAGAACAAAAAAATCTCTCAGAACCTACTAGGGGAGCACTTCTCGGCTGCCAAAGGTCCCAGGTTTGATCCTGGTATCTCCAGGTAAGATTGCAAAACCCTGAAAGGCTGCTTGGCTCAGTGTGGAAGCTTCCTAGCAGTGGAAGCAGTGGAAATGCCATTCTAATGGGAAAGAGAGAGGTGGAATAGCATTTATGCTACTAGAGGTCCCCTCCACCTTTCTTGCACTGTTAGTGTCCTACAAACATCGGGGGAGGGTGGAATCTGGGTGTATCAGATCCATGGATCTACGGACTCTACAGCACTGACGTGTCCAGAAAGATTGTGATTCTTTCCCTCTGACTGGAATCATTGGGAAGGGAAAAACAAAACGACAAGCGTGGGTACAGATGCTCTTCCGTGGATCTTATGGATTGTACCACTGGATGGTATGTTGAATTGCTCTTCTGAGATTTTAAGTCCCCCCCGCACCCACACCCTATGCTTGTTGTGGTAGTTTGAATGGATTATGCGAGATCATAATGGGCTTTATCCTCTACCTGAATATGAATGTGTAGTTCTAGTGAAGAAGCTAATGTACTGCGAACCAAAGCCCAGATGCACTAACCATTTCTAAGGCCAGGCTGAACAAACAGGTCTCAGGCTGGTGCCAAAAGGATAGTAAAGCTGGTGCCAGCATCTCTCTGGGAAGGGTGTTCTAAAGTCAGGACACTACAACAGAGAAGGCCCTGTTTCACATTACTCGCTGATGTGCTTCCCCTGGGGTGGCATAATGAGGCAGGGCTCCCACACAAATATAAGAACATCAGCATTTTGGAACAAGCGAGGTTCTAAGTCATTCAGGATTGGGCAGGTCCACGCAGAAGAGCAACCAAAGCAGCTCCTTCAGGGTTGCTGCTCTACAATCTCTGGCAGCCTGCCCTGGGAGCATCCTGGCAGTTGCAATCTGTATCGCCTGGAACTTCCCTCTTTGAAGGCAGCCCCACATAAAGCACATTGCTGTAATCAAAAAGCAGGGCACCCAGAGCATGGGTCACTGTGGCTAAGCTATCACTGTCCAGGGACGGCTGCAGCTGGAACACCACTGTGCCTGGGCAAAGGTGCTCCAAGCCACTGACGCCATTTTGGTTTCTAGTGCCAAGACCAAATAAAACCACACATCAGCTTTTCAGGGGAATTGCAGCTCTGCCTA